AACTCAGAAGAAACAGTGTGGCTGTAATATTGAGGCAAGATCTGGCACAGACAGTAAGGGGCTATAACCCAAAATACAACTGAATAACAGCAATCAAAATTAGTGCATACCTATCAGTATAACTATAATTCAAGTCTATGAGCCAACAACAGATGCTGAAAAGGATGAAGTTGAAAACTTCTATGCAGATGTTCAAGAGAAATTGATAACACACTGGCACAAGACATGCTGTTAAACCTAGGTGACTGTAATGCAAAAATAGGAAGCAAACAAAAACAAATGTTGTAGGGCAATTTGACCTAGGGGTAAGAAATGAAGCAACAGAATGATTAATAGAATTCTGTGGAGTCAACATTTGTTTTATTGCAAATACATACTTCAAGCAACCAGTCAGATGACTCCATACATGGACATCAGATGGCCAATACAGAAATCAAATAGACAATGTATTAGAAGCAGAAGATGGAGAATCTGTATTCTCACTGCCAAAATCAGAGTGAAGCTGAGAAAAATTAGCAACAAAAAATTAGTGTCAAAATACAACTGCAGTAACATTCCTGAGGAATGTAAAATCACCATAGAGAATAGTTTTTCATTACTTGATGTAGTTGACTGTGAACCAGAAGAATTGTCTCTGAAACCAGAGATATTAGAGAAGAATACCCCAAATAGGGTCAGAATCCTGAATTCAATCTTTCAGCAATTTTCACACAGAGACAAAAGAACTATTAAAATGATCAGTACAAAGAAATAGAAGAAAGCAACATAAGCGGAAAAACAAGAGACCTCTTCCAGAAGATCCAGGAAATCAAATAGAAATTCAAACCTAGTTTAGGAATGCTAAAAGACAAGCAAGGGAACATGCTATCTGAATGGAACAAAATAAACAGAAAGTGGAAAGAATATACAGAACCATACAGAAGAGATTAAAGGATGATAGACTTCTTCAAAAAGAAATCCTATGAAGAGCTTGCAATATTATAAAGTGAAGTTAAAGCTGCTTTCAAGGCACTTGCAAAGAATAAAGCAACTGGAGTAGACAGGACATCAATAGAACTATTCCAAGCTGCAGAAAATGAATAAGTTCATTCCTAACAAGAATATACTAACAAATATAGAAAATAATGACCCACAGACTGGCCCACATTCAATATATATTCCAATCCTGAATAAAGGAGATTCAAAAGAGTACAGCAACCCCAAGACCATTGCATTAATTCTCCACTCAAGCAAAGTGATACTCAAAGTGCTGCAATAAACTGCATCCAATATGGAGTGAGAAGTACCTAATGTTTAAGCTGGATTCTGAAAAGGAAGAGGCACTAGAGTCATATAAGAAACATATGTTGGCTACTGGAGCACACCAAAGAATTTCAGAAAAAGACATTCTATGCTTTATAGCAGTGATGGCAAACCTATGGCACGAGTGCCACAGCAGGCACGCACAGCCCTCTGTCGGTACATGAGCCAAATCGCCCCAGCATTGCCCCAGCAGCTGAGCATTGAATAGAACCATACATAGGAGCCATGTGCATGCTCGGAAAGGAGTAGCGGTGTCAGGGAATGATGTCACAAGCAGTGACACATTAGCCGCGACTTGTCCGAGCTTTCACATGCCTGGTCAGTGCGCTGCCAATTATATATATGTTTGTGTGTGTGTGTGTGTGTCTGCTTGGACTAGCTGTTTTCAGGTTTTATTGTAGTATTGGCAATTCACGATAAATAAGTGAGTTTTCAGTTGCAGTTTGTGCACTCAGTCTCTAAAAGGTTCGCCATCACTGGGTTTGAGTCAGAAAAACAAGATGTCCTGGCATGATTTGGATGGTTGGAATGTGTTTGGAATGGGCAGAAATGTTGAACTGTGCAGAGAAAGCTACTCAAGGAAGGCGTTTTCAAAATTGCATTATTTTCAATGGAACATTTGCCCTAAATTAGAGTTAGGGGTGTGCACCAGGGTAGGGTTAGGTTAGAGAAACAAGGTGTGCTGGTATGGTTTTGATGGTTGGAATGTGATTGGAATGGGCAGAAATTATGATCTATGCAGAAAAAGCTACTCAAGGAAGGCGTTTTCAAAATCGCCCTCTTTTCAATGGTATTCTATATTCAATATTAGGGTTAGGGGTGTGCACCAGGATAGGGTTAGAATTAGAAAAACGAGGTGTCCTGGCAGGGTTTTGATGGTTGGGATGTGTTTAGAAGGAGCAGAAATGTTGAACTGTGCAAGGAAAGCTACTCAAGGAAGGCGTTTTCAAAATCGCCCTCTTTTCAATGGTATTCTATATTCAATATTAGGGTTAGAGGTGTGCACCAGGGTAGGGTTAGGGTTAGAAAAATGAGGTGTGCTGACATGATTTTGATGGTTGAAATGTGTTCAGAAGAGGCAGAAATGATGAGCTGTGCAGAAAAAGCTACTCAAGGAAGGCTTTTTCAAAATCTCCCTCTTTTTAATGGAACTTTAGCCATATATTAGGGTTAGGGGAGTGCACTGGAGTAGGGTTAGGCCAATGGTGGCAAACCTACAGCACACAGGCTGCAGTGGGCATGCAGAGCCCTCTCTGTCAGCATATTAGCCAGATCGCCCCAGCATCGCCCCAGCAGCCGAGCATCGGATAAGAGCGCACACAGGGGCCATGCGTATGCTCGGAAAGGAGTAGTGGTGCCAGGTGATGACGTCACGTGCCGTGACTCATTAGCTGCAACTTGTCCGAGCTTTCGCATGGCTGGTCGGTGCACTGCCTTGCTTGGACTGGCTGTGTGTTGTTTTTTCTAAACTAAAACCTCAGTTTTCACGTTTTATTGTAGTGTTGACACTTTGCAATAAATAAGTGGGTTTTGGGTTGCAGCTTGGACACTCGGTCTCCAAAAGGTTCGCCATCACTGCTCTATAGTCTTCAGCAAAGTGTTTGACTGTGTGGAGCATGAGGAGCGATGGATGGTCCTGAAAGAAATGGGGATGCGTCAGCACTTGATTGTTCCGATGCGTACTGTTTACAGACAAGATGCTGCAGCTAGGACAGAGTATGGAGAAACAGAATGGTTTCGCATAGGCAAAGGGGTCAGACAAGGCTGTATTTTATCTCTGTATCTGTTCAATCAGTACACGGAGCATATCATAAGGAAAGCTGCATTAGCCTCAGGGGAAGGAGTGAAAATTAGTGGAAGACACATCAATATTTAAGACAGGCAGATGACACCATACTACTGGCAGACAGCAGCAATGATTTGAAATGGCTCCTGAGGACTGCAGATGAATAGTAAGAAAACAAAAAGCATAGCAAAGAATTTCAGAACTTTACTATTAACAGTGAAGAAATCAACGTTGTGAAAGATTTTACATACCTTGGCTCAGTCACTGATTCAAATAGACTGCAGGCAAGGAATTAAAAGAAGACTGAGACTTGGAAGAGCAGCAATGAAGGAAGTAGAAAAGAACATCAAGTGTAAGGACATTTCACTGGCAACCAAGGCTAAAATCATCCATACTATTGCATTCCCAATGACAATGTATAGGTGTGAATGCTGGACAATGAAGAATGCCAACAGGAAGAAAATGTATGTGTTTGAAACACGGCACTGGTGGAGACCTTTGCGAATACCCTTGACTGACAGAACAAGTGGGTCCTGGATCAAATCAAACCAGAGCTTTCTCTAGAAGCAAAAATGACAAAGCTGAGGCTGTCATACTTTGGGCACATCATGAGAAGGCTCATCTCTGGAGAAGGCACTCCTACTAGAGAAAGTCAAAGGCAGAAGAAGAAAAGCAAGACCTAATATGAGATTCATCAAATCCATAAAGGAAGCCACAGCCTTGTACTTAGAAGAACAGAGTGGGACTGTCATGGACAGGACATTTTGGAGAGTTTTTATCCATAGGGTTACCAGAAGTCTAGATGACTCGACAGCACATAACAGCAATTTCTATAATAGTTTGGCAAGAAAGGTAAATGTAATGTGCATACCAAGCTTAAATATTTTCACAGGTGTATCACTCCAGAAATGTGCATATACGATAATGTTCCATTACCAATGGTCAAGACACTTCGTCTAAGCACTAGTATTTTGGCTCCGTAATTCAGCTTATAAAGGATTTGTTCAAATTCACAGCACCGCTTCCTGTGCTAAATTTCCACATTAATTTTCCCCTCTGCATGTATTGGTCACACTCACTATACTGAATACTTGAAGTCTAATTCTGTTATGGATATACTATAACACATAGGGGCTCCATTGTAATTTGGTATGTATTTGTGTTCCATCGTGGAGCATGAAATTAAAGAACATATGCATAGCTCGCATAACGAAATCAAATTTGCTGACCATTCTGTTTGCTGAAATGCCATTTATTCCAAGAATTTCTTTAGTGTTTCTTTGGATGCATGCCCTGCACAACAGAATGATTATAAATAGGGTATCGATATCAGAATTAATGGATAGCTAGCAGGATTACAATAAAGGTCAGGCTTTGCAGCCAGGACCGAGACCCACTGTGCCTAATGATAGCACCGTGCTCCCCATTCTGCAGGGAGTAAGGGCTGCAATTCAGTTGGTGCACAGTGCTAGACTGGGAGACCAACTAACTCAAATACTGTGACTGTATTTTTATTTAAATGCTATTCTAGCTTAGAGACAAATTATAGAACCACTGGAGTGTGGAGGTTAAAATGCTGGAGTTGGTCTCTAAAGGCCTTCCCTTCCTGACTTAGGTAGCTCATAGGAAGGAAGGTGGGGGTATAAATGTAAAAAATAAATCGGATGTACAGAGGTCCAAACTCTCAAACTAGCAGCCATTTTAATAGTCAATATATGTAAAGCACTTTTGGAGCCAGGCATACTGTTAGTCCGAATGAGCTGTAGGTCAGGCAGCTGATTTTGGGTTTCCTGAAAGAGGAGCAAATTGTTAATCCTTTATTTGGTCACGTTTGGGTTGTCTGTGCATGGCAGCCTCTCCTACACTCAGGCAATGCTATGGAGAGGCAGGGGATGGGCTGTGGTAGGTGGGAGTGCATCCTCTCACAGAAGGCAGATTCTGGATCCAACTCTTGTTCGCTTTAAGTTTTACTGTTGTTTCAATACTATTTTAGGAATAGCAGTGTTAGTTCGTTGCAGCACAAGCCACAAAGAGTTTTGGGGAAAGTACGAATGAAGACTTAGGCTAAAGGGCTAGAGCTCAAGGTGTCACAAGACTCTGGTTGTCCTTATTAAGATTTAAATTACCGTATTGTGTGCCACTTTAAAAGTAGTTGCTGAATACAATATAATAATTTCATGAATAAACAACATATTTATAGTCCGTGACTACAATCTGAATTGGAACAAAATTGGTTTATGCCTCCTTGAGTGACCTTAACTGGAAAGGAAGCCCATGCTCAACCCTCAATATGAAAGTGATATGCCTAATATTTGTGGATATCTTGCCAACATTTGTTAATAACTGAACAATGAAGTGATGCTGAATAGAATGTTTGCCTCTGCTAGCATGCTTTACTCTCTGTTTATTACCTGCTCAAAGTTCCCCTCATCTCAAGCGCATCTTTCACAGAACCACTATATGTCTGTTCAGGTGCTGAATACCTGTGAAACCCAAATGCATGAGAAAATGCAGATAGACTCACCCCTGGTTAGCACAAGGCTGCTGTTGAACTGAACTCTCAGATCTGAAGCATACAGAATTCTCTCCATGTGGATGAATTCCCTGATTGACCTAAAGTGCTGTTGATGGAAGTCAATGGACTGTGAGATGTTAGAACTGAATAGTGGGAATAGAAATATGGAGAGGTAGATGAAATGTTTAGACTGCAACATTAAGATCCCTTTACTGGCAACAGAAATGCTAACATTTAGATCTTACCTCTGAATTGACAGCATATAATGGAAATTAGATTTAAAAAACTGGACCTTTGATTTCTGAAATTAAAAATTTTGTTCAACTCAAGTTAGTTACACCAGCTTGCATTTTATCTTTTTAAAAAGTTTAAAAGCTTAGGATTTTAGAATTGATACAGAGAAACAAAGCCAATGTATGGGTCAGTATGTTAGAGCAAATCAAGTTTTCGCTCAGGCAGTGCCCATGTCAACATGAGGCATACTCTGACAGGGGAAACTATGAACATTTATTTGAGACTAGCTGAAACCTGAAATCAATCTGTGAGACTTCCATTTATTTTCAAGTAAGGTGTATGAGGCTGTCATGACAGAATATGAACCAAAACCAATTCACATGGCCATTTATCCATGCTGAAATCTGTGTCATTTGACTTTTTCAATTGATACTGACATGGTCTTATGTATTATTAACAATATGCTCAGATTGTGGCATAAATTATTTGGGAATGACCTTCCAACAGTGTCTAAAGAATGGATTTACTTCTGATATTGATATGCATTGAACCCTTTAGTTAAAAGGTCAGCATGAAACGACGTTTGTGCCAATCAACTTGGGGTGGCAAACATAGTGGTGAGTTCATGAATTAATATAGATTTAAAATTGAATTTTATTTTATATTATATGAAAGTTGCTTGCCTTATTTGATCAGATGGTCACAGAGGGACACTGGTCATGACTTTTTAAATGAACTATAGAACATAATCCCTTCCCATTCTTTATATTTTAAAATGTTGAAGTTTCTGGAGTGTGGAAGTGAGTTCTCACTTGCTTTGAATAAGTACTGATTTTTGCATCATCTCAAAGAATGGAATCATCTCATGGTGGTTGATTGAGATTTTCACTGAGCCCATGAGTAGCTTCATTTTTTAAGTAAGATGATCACAAACCTTTGATGATACTATCCTTCAGAAAGCTATCTAATCCTAATTTAAAGGCATCAGTTCTCCTGGCCTTCTTCACCTGATATGATAAAGAAACTTAATAATTAAGTATTGAATGAACACATTTTCTGGACTTTTGTGTATCCTGAAGGCTAGTTGCCAGCACAATCCTTTCCCTGATTGACCATACATTTCCCAACATGCCTCAATCAGTAGGCTGGCTGGGACATGCTGAGAGTCGCAGACCTTTTCCCTGTGTGATTATTTTAATTATTTATTTAAAACATTTATATGCCGTCCTTTACAACAATCTCAGGATGGCTTACAACATTTAGCATTATGTTTAGCACTGTGCCCTAAATCACTTTGTATGCCGAGAAAGAGAGAAGTGTTAGGACCAACAAGTGTATAAAATTTGTTGTTTTGTGAATTGTCATATTTTTTCCTATTATTGAAAACAGCTCTGCACAACCTCCAATCAGATGCCCTTGATTTCTCCAGAGGATCACACACAACCCCTTTATGAAGGCGCATTCCCCTCTTCCTTCAAATACTTGGTAGTTTCCTGGCTTTTGTACATTCCCCCCACCCCATTATAAAACGGTGAAATGCCCCTCAGTTAGTGGCAGTAAACACAGTACCTCTGGCCCCTCTGGCTCTGCCTCTTTTGCCTTCAGCATTGCCCAGTACTCAAAAGCCCTTCCGGTGCTCAGGCAGTCTCTGAAAGAGATTCAGAACTCGTTATCTTAAAAATGCCCATAAGACCTTGCAGCTACTGGCTTAGCATGCAACCTACAAATGAAAATGAACAATGCAGAAGATAAACACGCACACACACCTTTTTAAACTGCTCTGCGGTCAGGAAGCAGGTGTATGCCACATGGCCACATTTTGGGCTTGTTTTTTAAAACTAGCTACATTTGAATGCAATGCTGAAGAGACATGGGATGGTTTTCTCTCCATAATACATTTATCCCAAGGTGCACTTGGGCATCTGTTTCATATTTAGTTATGTTTTACTAGTAGCTTTAAAAAAAGTCAAGCTGATGAACATCTACATTTAGGAGACCATATGTTAACAAGGGGCTGTTAGGTGATGTGAGAAGCTTTGTAACGCATGCTCACCATATGGATTTTTTAAAGTTACAAAAATAAATAAACGGAAAAGTGCCATTAGGAAGTAATAAACAATGTTTTGTCATTTGTCTACTCTGCGGCCTATGCCAATGTCTTCATAGACAGATTTGTGACATAATTTCACAAGAGAGAAAACCACCCAGATTACATAAACAAACCATCAAACTAATGTGCAGGGTTTTTTAAATCTACAAAGCCTTCAGTGATTGGAAGGGCCTTGTTCTGTGTCCAACTGGCTGGGTCACAATGGGAGAAAGGGCCGTGTCTCTCATGGCACCCAAGTTATGGACCCTTTTTCTCTAGCAGTATAGTCGGGTCTCTCCTTTTTTAAGTTTTGGATGAATTACCAAGACAATTTTATTTCACCTTTTCACCTGACGGAAAATGGTTGTCTCCTTGCTGATTTGGTTTTGGCTAATTTTACCCAGCATTCAATTTTTATTTTCTTTTATAATTTCTAAAAAAGATCATTTCTATTCCGAAAAATCTAAATGAATGAAATCAAGGTTAAGAGATGAATAGCATTTTTGCAATCTGCTCTTTAAAAGAGTTTTCTGGTTTTCTACATTATTTCTGGTGTAGCTGTGGCAGACTGGGCAAGTTTAGGCTTCTTTGCAAGACATTTATTGTGCGCTCACGATTTCTCTCTCACTGTAGTTTGTGGTGCTTTTTCTGATTGGAGTCAAGGCCTCTATTGTGCTTCCCAAGCATGTTTGCATCTTTTTTAAATGGAGGCAAGTGGAGCATTACTGAATGAAATGATTTTCACAGTTCTGCTATATCACACTGCTATCTTGTGGCTGTGTAATGAAACATACAGAAAGGCAGAGAAGGACACCCCTACCCTGGGGAGGGGAAAATCATGTAAAGGAGCTGATCTTAATTCTGCAAAGAATTAGGAAGCAGAAGATTCAGTTAAGGTAGGTTAAAAGCCTTATGTGGAGAAGTCCTAAGAGAGTTGTCAGTGTTACAGTAATAGGACTTACTCTTTAGTATTAAACTAGAAATGTCAAGGATCCTTAGGCTAAACAGAAAGAAGATAAACACTTTATCTTGACTATAAATTGCAATAAATTTTATAAGGTATCAAAATATTTTTAGTTTGGGTCCGTGTCTATATTGAATCTAATTAGGCAAGTATGAAAGCTCCTAACAGCAAGAGGTTGTATTCAGTTCTCTGATTTATGTGGAACTTAGTGACCTTCTACTCTTGGGGTGGTGAACCTAATTAGAATGCAGTCTAATTTCATGTGGGTGGCAGAGAGCAAGAGGCATTAAACAAACTGTGCAGTCCTGCAAACCCCACCCTTTATTTTCTGTCTCTGGCTCCACCCACCAGCAGCTGTGTCTTCCTGGTGGCTTTTCCCATGAGCCAATGGCCAATGCCTTTTGTGCAATAGCCCTTAGTCCCGCTTCATAAAGACTGAGCCTTTAAGATCTCCCCTCTTCTGCTGCCAAATACTTTGAGATCTCCAAATTTCACAAGGCTCAAATTAGGCAGAAGGCTTTCTTATTTTCAGAATCCACAAAATTAGGAGATCCACAAAGAAGTTTCTGGCTTTGTTCCTAACTTCTTTTCAGGTTCATTTTTCCTCTAGTGATAATGGGAGTGATGAACTTGCTGAACGCCTGAGGGAGGGAAATATTTCTGAGCAATACCACAGCAAATTAATCACAAGCAGCAGCCATTTGGATGTATTACCTAAGATTAGCGTATTCCACACTTCTCTGCTGGGACTTTATTTTACAGTGTCTGCAACAGCAAATATTACATGGTGACATAAGAGAAACTGAAAGTAAAGGAGTGAACATAAAACAGATGAGAGCAGCTAAAGCAGCAGTTACAAGAAATCTGGGCTTTGAAGTTAATGCTGTAGAGAATTGGAGAAGGTGGAATCAAGATTTTATGTTGTACTGCACTGCAAGTGGAGCATAAAATGTAATAAATAAATACATAATAAAGAAAGATGAGATAATTCAATAAGCACTATTTCTTTATATGCTAGTGATGCAGTATTTAATACTTTTCAGCTTCAATGACAATCCTTTGTGGGGGAATCAAGTTTTGGTTACTATATTTGAAGCAGCTTTCCCCAACCTGGAACTTTCTGGATGTTTTGGACTTTTGACTCCTGTCACCTCCAGCCTAGAAGGTGAAAGATCAGGAGTGCTGCAAGCTGTAGGTTAACAGCATCTTGAGGATACCATTCTGGGAAAGGTGGAAGCATCCCAAAAAACATTTCTTGTGAAAGAAATTCTTGACTATAACTTGACATAAAAGAAAAGGCATGGTATGATAGAACACTGTTACAAACTTCAGGATGTGGGGTGCTGTGTGAATCACTCATTAACATATGTATGTGGAATAAAGATGGCAAAGTATGGCATGATGTGAGATACATTCAACGGTCAGATTGCTGAAAAAGATCTGGAAGTATGCAGGGCTAGGCAAGAGCCTGCAAAGCAGCTAAGAAGTGTAGCAGAAGAAAAGAATACATGAAAACCTGACTGCACAAGCATATTCCTCAGGCAACAGCCTCAGATCACAAGAAGCTTGGCACTACTAAAATCCTCACACAGAAGCAAGTGTCACAGCTATAATCAAAAGCCACAAATGCCTGCTTGAATTCCTGTCCAGTATATGAGCTCATATTAAGCATTTTGCCCAAATGTATAAAACTAAAGAAAAAAGTCTTAAGACAAAGGTATGATTACATTGGCAGAAACAAATGAAATGATGGGAGTTGTCTTTACTGGTACATTATATTCCTCAGCTCTGGAAGAAGAGTGGTTTTCAGATTGTATAAAGCAGGGTGGGTGACTTGAGACCTTCCAAATGTTTCAGTCTTCAGCTCTGTCCCATCATCCTTCCCCATTGGTGATGCTGGCTAGGGCCGATGGAAGTTGCAGGCCAAAACATTCAGAGGCTGACATATTGCCCACCCCTGTATGAATGACTACCAGCCTTTATCTGTTTACTGGATTACAGAACCACAACCTATAGGAGCTACAGAGTCAACTGCATAGCTTTTATTAGTAGGTGGGCAGGAGCACTGAAGTACCATATTATTCCAGCTGGTATATACGTGGAGCATCTGATACTGAGTGAAGATAAACAGAAAAATATTACAGCAAAGCTTTAGCTTCACTGCTCTGGGGGACTCAGCTTCCCTTCCCTTGGTCAAAAACAGGTGTGCAACATATTGAGTGAGGGATTCATTCTCTCAAGATCATATTCCATTCAAACTGATGCAGCTGTCTATAGGAAGAGCTGAAGAGATGTGCAGAGCACCAAAAGCCTCAAACCAATGATAGATGAAAAAACAGAGAGTAGAGTCACCTACCAGTTTAGAGCTTTCCTACTTGAAGATGTTAATCAGCTGCATCCACTCTGAGTTTCATTGTGAAACTGAGATCCAAGTGCTACCCAAAGACTGTTTCCTTTCTTGCTTTTCCACCATATAACTTCTAGTGTCACTGTGGTATAGTGGAATAGCACAAATACACAAGTTGAAAGAGTTTTATTTTGTATTTTACAATGTAGTGCCAGACTTTCCCTTTTTTAAAGAAAAAAACCCTGGAAGATCCTGATGACATCCAAAGAATCCATAAAGAACTGTGAGTAGGGAATTCCAAGCAGGAAATAAATGCTTCATATTAAAAAGTTCACAAACAAGGTAGGGAGACTTCAGAGAAGGTTTTGGACATTGCTATGGTCATGACTACATCAGGAAGATGAATGAAAAGTAGACATTAACAAAGGAAATTCTTCTTTTCTTTTAAGGAAAGCATAATGAGTACAAGAACCAAGGTGTATGTACATGCAAGGAAGGAGTTCTGAGTACCACCTGAGATGAAGCCAAGGGAACTAGTACTATCTAAGATATTTTGATGCCACAGGCAAAAGACAAGGTGGTATCTCTGCCTTCCTCCTGGCTATATTCAGAAGCTTTCCGAGCTCGAACACTAACAACCAGACAGGGACCTCCAAAGGACCCAAGGGCAGCCGGGAAGCCTTGGGGAGAGAGCATCATGCAAACACCCAACCACTGCTGGGCCTGGCTGCTCTTTGCTTTAGGCTCAAGTAAATGTGGAGAAGCAGCACAATCAGCGCCTGCTGAACCATGAGGCCTGGACTGGCTGCTTCTTTGTCCACCTGCTTGGTCAGGGGCCTTTCCCGATCTATGCTGCCTGTAACACACTGGGAGAAAGTTGCTACTCCAGGACATCCACCGGCAAAACTCAGCACCATCACAGTGCTGGCTGAGGGGGAATTGCTGGGGAGAAGGCATCGGCAGGGCCATCACTGGCAACCTTCCAGCTCCTCCATAGCTCCTGTGGCCTGAGGTGGCTGCCTCCATCTGCCTCATGATAGGGCCATGGTAACCAAATAGCGCTCTTCATCCTTTGCTTATGTGTTCTAATATGGGCCCCCTAGAGGGACTCACAGCAAATTGATGCGAAAGCAAGTAATTTTATCATATCTTGTAAATGATATCTTGCTTAATCACACATATATGCATACATAGATATAGACATACATACCTATATCTTCCCATTTAAATTTTAAATAGGGTTATCTTAAGGTAGTCTTTACATTGCGGCTCTCTTTGTCTTGCAAATTTCTTGGCTACCACATGAAAGTAGGTAGATCTTTGCTTCCTTCATCACAGTCTTAGTAGAGCATTCTTCTAGAGAAAATGGCTGTCATTTCCCCCCATAAAGGAACGTTTCAAGCCCTTTCTTACACACCAAGCAGGCAACACCCAAAGTCCTCCCCCAACTCCACTGATGGTGGAACTTCACTTTCCTGCCCATAATGATGGTGGGCACTCTTATAACCTTCACTCTCATAACCTTCTCCACTGAGCATGTGCAGATGTATCCATAAGTGCATGTGGATTACACCCTTATAACTTGGTGAACAGTTATAATAAGAGTTCACGGTGCTGAGCAAATTCTGTTTAACTCCTGAAGATTCTCATTCTGTAAATTTTCAACAGCAAATGTGCTTCTCACCTCAGACTGTAGTATTTTTAAGGGCAAAGTCATTCTAGTTCTTTCCATACGATGTTATTTTTATTTAAGCAGATGTCATTTTTATTTATTTAGAGTTTTTTGCAGAGAGATTTTCCTGGGCAACATGCAGTCTAAAAGGGGGTAGCCCAGGAATACCCTTACCACTCCCTGTGCTGTTTATGCCAACTAGGTCTGCTAAACCTTCATTATTACATCCTTTTGTGGCTACCTTTGAATTCTGTCTTTTTTTGTGCTGAAGTGTGATGTGACTAGCTCCTGCGATAGCTATACTATCAAATTTGAAGCTAATATCTGGTTAAGTCCCCTTCTCATAATTTACAACAGTCCCTTGACCCATTATGGATCCAGATTCCTTTAAAAAAATCTGTGTGTTTATTTAAGCCATCTCTAGTTTCGGTGTCAAATCCATAAATCTGCTCAAGTTCACTCACAACTGGGCTGACGTTTACTCCAAAAGGTTGCAAACCTTCAGGGCGGGGTGGGGGGAAACTGGCCAGAGTCTGATTTTGTAAATGAAACTCCAAACCAGCCAAGTTTTTCTTGGTTTTGTATTTCATTGCAAACAACCCCGGTGATTCTGAGGTAAGTGCAGCCTGCGATCATAAACAGCAGTAAATATGAAAAGAAAGAAGAGCTGCAGCTATTTTTCTTAGTAGTCTGCGATGACTGGAAAGCTGCCCTGCCTTGCTGCAATACAGGTTAGCAGACCTTGGCTTGAAAAAGGCCCTTTAGCGAAGTTTGATACTGAAAAGTAATCTTCTTCAGGAAATGAGTACCAAAGAACTGTTATACCATGTAATAAGAAAGAAACAATAAAGATCCTTGGCAAGAAAGTAGCTCTGCATTGATGGACAACAGTCATTATAAACCCTACTCTTAAATAGAAAGGCCTTCATGCTGTTAAAAAAAAGTGTTTCTGTGTTATAAATATTGGTGTTTGCATTTCATATTGGACAATTTCCAAACAAACTCTAGTCTTCTGAGCCTGTTTAAGAACTAAGAATTGCAGATACAAAGAGGAAGAAAATACGATTTTATTGACAGAGCAGGCTATAAAAATATCTCAGCTAATGTTTCAAATGTGAACTGTTGGGTGTGGTTTGAATTGAAAAAATGTCAGAGATGGAAGGACTGATGGTTTTTCCCTTTCCATTGCCCTAGGCTTCATAGTATTAGAATTATGGTGATCTCATAGAAGATTCATAGTAGGCTGAAATATCTCTTCAACAGAAAAGAAATGCGTGAATGGCCAAAATAGTATGCATAGCACAATCCATTTCCTGGAAGGAAGAAGAGGAGGAGAAGGAAGTGATGGTGGAGGAAAAGAAGAAGAACTGGGCATGTCATCCTTTAAAGAGCCAATTCACATTAATGTTTTGATGTGATGGTGCACTGAGTATTCTGTGTTTTGCATCGTAATTTATATTTGAATACTCCAATGTGATTTGAGATTTCTTTCTGTCCTAATTGCTTCTTCATGCACAGGCCTGTATCGAGCAGCTTGGGAGGCTGCTCAACTTTCACTGTTCCAGTCTTTGGGTGGGAAAGGGGATCAAAGTAGGGCCTGGATCCCATTTCTGGATGCCCAAAGAAACAATTCACACAATCAAGGCTGAGCACAGTGTGTGGGGCATGCGTGGACCCAATCCAGCAAGGAGTGCGCATACTCCTGTAGTCCACATTTAGGATGGGGACATTTTTTTTCTGAGAAGAATCATTTTGCAAATATAGAAAACAATCTGGAGATTAAGCTGCACTGAAAAGTTCTGTGCACAGTTCTCTCCCTTCCTCCCTCCCTCGCTCCATGTGCGTGCGTGCGTGCGTGTGTGTGAATAGAGACTAGATGGATGGGAAATAAATTTAATTAAAATTAAATTGATTAATTTGTTGGGAAATATGCCAAAGCATTAGCCTGTGCTCTGAGATCGGCATCTGCTCCACTCTTGAGGAAAAACGTGTAGCGACTAGAGGGTAGGACCATCCTCATGGAATCCTCTGCCTGTATTTCATTCCATTGCATTGCATTTCATTACTGCCCAATAACTAAAACTCTCCAGGAGGTTCACAGCAATTCACAAAATACAAATACAATAGTGAAAGACAGCTTAGAAGGCAGATAAAATCTCAATTTTAAAAAATTTAATCCATTTTGACAGCTAAAACTAAACAAACAAACAAACAAAACAAGACCGGTTAAACTAGCTGACATGTCCCATCTTATGTTTTAAATGCTTTAGGTGTAGAAGGCAGTCTTACCTCAGTGATGAAAAGATGGTAATGTTGATGCGGGGTGGGCTTCAGTGGAGACAACATTCCATAATTGGGGGACACCACTCAAAAGGCAAACCTTGTGGGTACTCAGTGGAAGGCCTCAACTGTAGATCATATAATGTTCTCTGAATGGGAGAAGCATTTTGTCAAGTAGTATAATCCCAAGTTGTACAGAGTGCCTTCCCTGAGGAAGGCCGCTCAGTGTCTACTTTGCTACAATGTCAGTACCATGGATTTCCCCCAGCTTTTCTTTTTAACTTCCTTTAAAGCTGTATTGGAACTTTTACTGATTATGCCACGGTTTTGTTCTGTACTCTGCAGTAACATTATTATTGTTAAATGGTTGTTTTATTATGTTTTCTTGAATTTTTTGTATTCTGTTCTGAAATTGGGTGCCAACCTGGGAATGCTAATGTACAAATGACAGAAGCATTTATGTAAAACATTTGCCCATGCAAACATTCATTAAGGCTTATCTAAGTAACATTTTATGAACAACCGACTTGATTACAAAATGCCCGAGAATTCTTTTCTGTCTTTACTAAGCAAAGCCACAACTTAAGAGTCTTTAATTTTTAATTCCATTGGTTATGCTATAAAATTCGCTAAAGATGTTATCTGTCTAAAATTGTTGAATTTTTGAGTGCTTAATTAAGCTAATTGGAATGTTAAGCTAACATCTTTTTGTTACCATGTTGGAAAGAAAGAGCTTTGAGATGTCTTGTGCTTGCTTGCTTTCAAGCATTCTGCTCTTAAATTATTTTTGATTTAAATGTTGGGCTTCCTAGACTATTTATTATTAGCAACAGAGAAACTCAGTTTGGAAATGAAGTAGGAATATAAGCTTTTTCAGCAATTTTTGTTTCTGTTTTTCAACAGTTCCCTTTCAGCTCATAATAATGGCACAGCTGTGTTGATGGTGCCAGGCACACGGGCCATATCATAGCACCCATTGTGGTTTCTTGCACCTACCTTGGTGGAGAGGGACTTGGAAACTGAAATCACCACCAGCACCTCAGCCAGGATACCTGGGAGGAGCAGGTTTTGTTTTGGACAGCAACTATATGAAATGTTTTCAAGAAATAATCAGGAGAATTGAGCCAAACAGAAAAGGTCACAAATGAAAGGTTGCTTGAGCATGTTTTTCATGGCAATAAAAAAGAGTTTCAGTGAGGATAAAATATTGTCCATGTGTTTATGAAGCAGCTGGTTCCTGACATTGGCTGAATGCTGATCACAGATGCAATGAAATTTGTGGATGCTTATTTTGCATGGGGGAAATGTTGTTTGTTTAGGTGTGCAACCAAGTTTTACTTCTGAGCCAGGCATACTTGCATTCCAAACTGGATAATTAAGAACTTGAGTGACATCATTACTTATTGCTATTTTTTCTTTTCTCAGATGGCCATCCACATGCAAGTATCTTTCCACATAGGAAATTTGGAAGACTAATCTGAAGAAAGAATAGACAGGCATTAGAGAAATTGTAAATAGTAACTTTATAGTCATACATATATGTGTGATCCTGTCTTATATCAGCATTGGCTCTGTTGCAATAAAGAAAGAACAAAATGCAAGATGACTTCTAAGGATTAATTATGTTCATTCCATGGCAGCATCCAGAGTAATAGTTAAAGACTGGAAAACTGTAGAACTTTTAGCACAAAAGGCTTGGCACCTGCAGATGCAACAAATATCCATGGCCAAAAAAGTGACGCCATCGGAAATTCACCCAAGGCCAAATTAAAATGTCTAATTTTTATAAAATATGGCATGATTGCATTGCATATGCAAGTCAAGGACATAGACATGATTATGCTTTCCTCAGAATATGGAGGTTCCACAACTCCCAACATTCTGCAGCCGGCAGAGAATTTCTGCAGCAAGGCAGAAATGTGCCTTGCTATTATGAAGAGCTGTAACAAAAATCTCCAAGCAGTCCATGGATGCCACCTATCATTTTGGTTGCAAAGTGATTGTGAATTTGATGTGTTTGTTAGTCATAGTAAAAAAGAAAAAGAAAAAAAACAGCAAAAAAGAGAAGGCCTGTAATGTTGGACCCATCGTACTTCGGATCTGACTTGCTCATTGTTGCCCTTTATACTAATGCCACATCCCAAAGTTTTTGAGCTATGCCTTCTGTCCCTATTTTGAGGCACAGACATGTGAATATATTCCCCATCCCCAGATTTCTAGTAAGCAAGATGCTTTGGAATATGCATATTACAGCATTCTAGGGCATGTGGAAGTTTCCAAACTATTATGGCACACGAGTGAGTGAGAAAGACCTAAGCGCATCTCATGAAATAATAAATAAATTTTATGCTGCTGTTGTTACATCACATCCATATCCCACATTTTATCTTCTTTTGAGAAGCCCCAACAAGCTTACATAGCCCATCTATTCTCAGCCCTGTGAGGTGCATTACTGGGCCAAAGTCATTCAAGGAGGTTGGTGAAGGGGCCAAGTCATCGGAGGAACTCCATGGCTGTGTGTGGCCTAGAACCAAGATCTTCTGAGTCCCAGTACTGACTGCTGACTGCCACCCGACACTGCCTCTTCAGCTCAGCATTCCAAGCAAAATCTGGTGCCTGCAAGTGTGTATCTTCCCAATGTTATTTTTTGCTCATTTCATATGTAGGTTGTAAAGCTGCATTTGGAAAAGGTCTTACTGTAAAAAGGGCTATCTCATCAATCAAATGTTTCCCGAGTGTGCACTGAAAAGAATAAACTTATGCCACATGTGTGGTTGGTGGAAGGACAAAATAAAACTCTGTATTGCTATTCAGTGGAAATATGGCTAGAGTAAACTCCTTATTCCTTACTGGCCCATTGGATTCAGTCATGTGGCCAAACAATATTTATCAAGTATTTTGGCTGCAGATAAAGGATTTTTTTCAGAATTATGATTACATTTATATTGGATTTGATGTACATCTCTTGAACTTTTGCTGTGAAGCTCCTAACTGTTATTGCAGAAACCAGTTTCTTTGGCAAACTATGGGATACATTCCCTTCTGATGTGCTGGAGACTCACTAAGGGAATCAGGCCCTTTATTCAAAACTGCCATACCATAATATACAATAATTTATGCTAATGGTCCTGAAACATATACAGAAGTTATAGATTTACAATATAAATGAGCATGGAGATTGATAGCATTTTGGCTACAATTGCTGGGAAATTTGAAAAAGAATGAATGATTATACTTTATGCTTTAAAAAGAACAGGATGAGGAAGAAAAAGAGGAGGAGGAGGAGGAGGAGCTGGGAAATTAATGTAGAATACAATCTAGATTATCCAGCGTTTGGAGGTAATGAGGTGAGGCCCATAAAATGCTTTATGCTTCTAAGCCTTAAAGTCTAATGCATGTAACCATTTATTCCATGTATTTCTTCCATGAAATATAATAACAGGTCAACACAAATAAGTGTAACTTGATCTGAATTCCAACTTTGTCAAAAGTGTAAAGATCTAAAAGTTCAAGCAGGTGAATTCAGGTTATACATGAAGCTGCATGCATAATAATAATGCATTCAGCACATTAGTCAGGAATTAAGCATTTACTACCCAATCCAGAAAAAACACCCATTTTACAGATGAAAAATACTAAGGCTGAGAGTTAGTAGAAATCATTAGTGAATCCATAGTGGCAAACTCAAAACTCATGCAAAACATTTCACTCAGAAAAGTGAGCCACCACCTACAGGCCTTCACAATATGCATTATATACAGTCCAGGCAGCAAGGATCTAGAAAACATTTCCTTGCACACTCTTCCCTAGCCTCTTCACATATAATGTAAATGCAGAACTATGTACAGCATGCGATGAAATTTTCAGCTGTATACTTGTTTGGTCTTCTGTATTACATAGATTCAGCCCCCACCCCCTACAGATTGAAAGAACACCTGAGGAAGGCCATGTGGGGTAAGCCTGCCCCATAGTCTATTCCCCAGCTGCCCTTACCTGCAGCCACAACACACCCACATACTTGGGCAACACCAGAAAAAGCTTTGCACATTCTAATATGAGGTAACAGTTCAGTTAATAGTGTCATCCAAGGGCTGTGCATATGTTCAGCTTCATGTGTGTACTGATATGTGTGTACTCAGTATACCGAACATGTGGAAGAAGAAGAGGGGCCCTGCCTGCTAGGCCCGCTCCCAACCTCCATGTGGTATGTGGCATTTCTAAATGGTGTGCCAACATGCACACTGCTGTTCCTGCAGAGGCACATCATCCAGAGTTTCTGATGAGTGCATGGAGGTCAAAGGTGGGGTTGGAGAAAGTCAGCGGCAGTGCCCACAGGTGAGGTCCTGGTTCCATGAATTCTATAAATATGGAGTGGGGACATCAGCACAGCCCTCTCATTTTATGGTTGAATCAAGATCTTTGGTTTCACCACCAAAGGATGCCACTTGAGAAGCTGGACGTCCACAGCTTCAGCTAAGGTGTGGTATAGAAATAAAATTAACAATAACAATAACCCTCTTCCCTGCAGCTCCCTGCTTTCTGCTACAGATACCTTTGTCATCTGCATCTTGTCAATGCAGATGACAAAGTTGTGGAAGAAGGAGCAGGAGAGGGTCTGTCACCAAGGGTTTTGCTACATATTTTTAACCCCAGCCATCAAGAAAATAGTACATCCTTGAGAATAGCAAAGAATATGCTGAATCCTCATCATTTGTGGATTTGGAATATCAAAAGCAGAAACTTACTGAGAATTTTGGAGTTCAAAGAACTGCAATGCTATTCTTGGATGGGTGCCTTATAATGCGTTTTTATTATTTAAACATCACTGACTCTGTCCAAAATGCTCTATAAATTTCAAGAGGAACTCTTGAGGGGATTATAATCTAGGAGACATGCAGGTATCTTCCACACTAGGGGTTAAGGGCAGACTTGCCATGGCAAGCTCACTCACTTTTTTCATGGCATCTTGTAATGTTGCCAGAAAATTCTCCTCCCATTTTCCTCATTTCTCTTCTGTTTCTTTTCAGAGCTCAGGAAATTCCTGTTTGAAAAATCAAACAAATGAAACAGCATATTCTGTTGTGGAAACCTGCTAAATATTTGTGGACCAGATTGTTTGCCGCGATGGTCCCTTCACACTGAATGTTGCAGGACCAGCCCGCCTTATCAGGGTTCCTGATCACTCGGAGATTTGCAAACGCCTTCAGTGGAATGGGCTTAGAAAACCTTGCACAAAGATCTACAGAGATGCACCCCCATCCACACACACTTTGACCCCTTCCTGGATCAGGTTTTGGTTTGCATAAACTGAGGAGGCACACAATGTATTGGCTGAGACCAATAATGAAGCTGAATGCATCTGGGTAGTCTCGAGAAATGGTGAAAATGGGCATGAACTGACAAGCACAAGATCACAGCAATATGTTACAACAGTTACTTTGTCAGAAGCACATAGTTAATTTTCATTCCTGTCTTCCAGCCTATTATGTTAATCAAGACTGAAACATTTCTTTCAAGCTTCTTTAACACAAAGCTTTTCTATACAATCTGTTAATCTGCTGTACTGTGTGGTTTTGTTGAGGAGCTAGGTTCTGAATGCTACAAGCATTTCCTTTTCTGCTTTTCCATGACATGACCTCTAGGTGGTACTGTGGTATACAAGAATAATACAAATATTCAAATGAAAATTGCACTTTCTTTCACTTTCATAATTTTATGCCACATTTTCTGTGCTCTAAAACAAAAACTAAACCAACCTACTCCCCATCAAAATTGCTGGTTAGACATAGAAATAACACCAGGGGTTCATGACTTTGTTTACAGAACTTTTAAACAACCTTGATTAGGGAATGATGAGAACACAATAAAGGCTCATAGTGGCAAAGAGCTTCAGCTATTAATCAAGATATTCCTGGTAAAGCATTTACCTGCCATGAACTAACTTGCTAGACTTCATTAAAGAAGCCACTCACTTTCAATATCAGCAGGAGGATAATGACACAAGCCTACCTGACCAAGTTCTTGTAAAGATTATAGCACGACAGAGCGGGTGAATACTCTAAAACTGCTTTATAAATGTTAAGGATCACCTTTTCCATGTAAGTGTACAAATTTGGCATATGCAGAATTATATTGATTTTACATTGTACTTTGGAGTCCCAGTGGTCATTTGCTGATTGATTTCTGGGTGCATTAATGCGTATCAATTCTGTGCCCAGCTGCCTGGAATTGTTTTGCTATCAAGGAGTCTGGGAAGAGACATGACTCTATGGCTTGTGTTTTGTTGCGGCCACAGAAAGTCTGGAAAAAAAAAGAAAAAGCTTGTATCACACAGGATGTTTGAGAAATGACATCAGATATGGCTGTTTGTGGACATGCAAGTCAAGTGCTTGTAAGCATTCCCATAGCCTCCATCAGACAGCTGCAGAATAATTAACAGCAAGAGCAGCTCAGCTACGAGTGGGAATTTGGGGCGTCGTGGTTGCTTCTTCTCTCCTGTGCCAAGTTATTTCTTTAGAGAGCTGACCTCATTCTGTACACTTCCCCCTTTTATCAATGGGTTCTCACTTCTTTGGTTACATGGCAAGGCTGTTATTTTCTTGGCAATTTCCTCAACTGAAATGCCTTTCAGTACGGTCGTGTGGCACCATGCTTTGTAAGCACCATGACGGCAGGGTGTTTCATGGCAGAAGGCTGTGACAATGTAATAAGAGTTTTCCAGCATTGTTCTCTTGATACGCTATGGGACTCGTTCTTGGTTCAGGCATTAAGATGATATTATCTGATGTGGGGCTCAGTCACAGGGAGAACAGCAGATTATTTCTTGTTCATTCATTTTGAACTGCATCTCCTGCCAAGATGGCTTTAAAAAGCCTTATAGGAGTTGCAATTCTATGCCCACAAATGAGCATCCTCTAGACACCCTCTTGACAAAGCATCTTCACAGTTTGCCTCTTAACCAGGCATCCCATGAAAATAAGCCTCCCAATGACTGCAGAGGCTTCTGGTTTCCAAAACAGCTGTAGGTGCTCTGTCCAGATGCCTTGTTTGGCCCTCTCTTTGCAGGGTGCTTGAGCAAGGTGCTCACACCTCATGATTCACCAAACACCCTTGTTCTTTTTCTAAATAGAACAACAAAATCTCTCTGAGACAGGATCTGCATGACCATAAAAGGGGTTGGCTTCCATCCCAGCATGGAATGTGAAGAGGGTTGGAATGGGGAACCTGAGACAGAAACTGGAACAGCCACTGCAGCAGCTTGGAGGCTTCCTTCTGCAGCATACACCATAAAAGTGTGAAGTGGGTCTAAAACGAATGGAACAATATTCATGCAGTTGTTGTGACTGGTGTATGTTGCCTGCAGAATTCAGATGTTAGCTTTGGCTGGTGTTTTCAATTCTGTGCCCCATTTTGGTTACCTATGCAACTGTCTGGACTAAAGAGAAGGCTGTTTAAACATTAGCTGGGAGCTCCCAGTCTGAGAGATACTTTATTCCAGCCTTGCTTTCTGTTCTGAGATTCTTCACAGGCCAGAACTGAGATACTACTTCCCCTAGTCACACTGACCATATAGGGCAGCTGTTTCAAAGCAGCAGCCCTGAACTCAGAGTAGTTCTCTTGTCAGGAGAAGCAGAGTGGAAACAGCCCCCATTGCCTGCACAATATAAAGTGACTTGGAAATGAAACCATTTGCAAACAATGCCTATGCCATCAGTTGATCAATGGAAAAGGAAGCTATGGAGCACCGTGCTCATGAATACCATCTCCAGCTATAAATAGCTTTGGAATGGACACATGAACTCTGTTCAAACCCTCTCCCCTGCCCCCTGCCACCCCATGCATTCTGTTTCCTAGCTACCAGAATGGATATAGATCTGATGAATTGGTGATTTTGGATGTGCTGAATGTGCTATGTATGAGAATACAAATGAGCCAACATAATAAAAAAAGGAATTCAGACCATTTGCTTTTTATGTGCACATGCATGCACACATAAGCAGAGGTCCTGCTAAAATCTTAGCTCATGCAGCAAATAGATAGGGAGCCTCACAAAAGAGGGTATCCAAAAGGACTGGCAGTGGGAAGAGAGAGCATCGCAAGTTTTTTGTTCTGCAGCCTTCGTTTATCCAGCCAAGTTTTGAGAACAAATGGCCTTTGTCATCTGGGTACGGTGTGGCAGAAAGGTCCCAGACTTCTCACAAATTCCATTGATTGGAGCAATGTAGCCCAGTGTGTTAGATGACATACAACAGGGCTTTTAACTACCTATAAAACGGTCCCATTTGACATTTTACTTTAAGCCCTTCTCCCGAAGACATGTTGAACTGTCCCTTTTCCTGCACTTGCTGCTCGTGACGCTGGATGGGTGGGGATGGGGACTGTGGAGGGCAGGGCAGGCCATGCTTTCGGTGCAGAACATCTGGGTGGCATTATGATGGAAAGGTGACTAATCCGGGGTACACAGTACTCCATTAATGGCTTAGGGGCTCCAGGGGCTTGTTTGTGCTCTGCTGTAGCTGGTCAGTGGCGTATCCGATGATTTTATGGGACACCAGTTTCAAACACTCAGAGTCAAGTGCTGGCAAAGGCCTACACTCACAGCTATCTGGAGCCAACTGGGTTATGGGCCAGCAGTTTGGCGTTGCAAAGGCAAGTGTTTTCCCTCAAAAGCAAGTTGCTCAAAGGGAGGGATACAACAGAGCTTTCTAGCAGGGTTTCTGCTACTGGACTGACTTTCTACAGTCACCTGTTTCCAAGACAGGACCAAGTCAATTCCTGTTTGTATTATCAGTTTCTGAATTTGAACCATTTGAGGTTTCCTTCTCCATCTAGCAACCTCATTTGTTCCAGTTTTGGCCAGAAATGGTGGAGCATCTTCCCAGCAGGTGGGTTCATGCACATGTTCAGTGTGATCAGGGATCCTATGTTAGTGCCAGTCATACCAGTATGAAACTTCCAGGTGTCAAAATAAAACCAGATATAATAGCAACTCTGCACATTTCACAGAGAAAAACAACATGGAGGCAGGACAAGTGTCCTTGGCAGATAAGTGGGGCAAGTCAGGTAATGTCAGTATGAACTCAACTCCAGATCCTGCTGTAAAATAACAACAATGTTGAAGCAGATGGATACAGCCCCTTGATTTTGCTAACATTTTCCTGTATATCAATAGCAGAAGGTAGCACATATCATCACTGCAGCCAAGAACAGCACCTGTATTGAGTACCTTTTGGTCATTTTTATTCCTAAAAGTGAACAGGGCAGGATATCAATATGCTAATTAAAGCAGAACTGCCCTTGAAGGGTGTAACAAAATGTAAGCCGCCCAATCTATTACATCAAAGCTTTAGAAGAGGATGGTTTGGAGTGAATAGGGGTATGTAACCCTTATCCTCCCTGATAATTTTTCACATGCATTTCTCCCTCAACTGCTGTTCTTTCCACAGAGAAATGGCTTTGTTTCATGTGTTCCAAGACAGAAAATAATAAAAGTGTTGTTTTGATCTGTGGCATCATCCCAGGGATTTTAGTTATACCCTTTTCCTTCATGTTAAAGATTTTACATTAAAATGTTTGGTGGCACTAACATTACTTTTCCTTTCCTTTTCTGGCACAGCTAAATTACTGTTAGTGATGTTATGAGAGCACAATGCTCAGTTTGAAAAAAAGGGGAGTTGCTGTTGCAATATGTTGAGAATCTCAAACATTGGAACCTTTTCTAGCATTATATATATATTAAAGTGAATACTGTTGAGCTTTTTGTGTAAAAGTGCTTTTTAACCTTAGCATCACCTTGACTTCAAATGCAACAGGATGTGTGTGTGTGTGTTTAAAGAATTTAGTTACCAATGACATCATTATCTCCCCATCTTTAGAACTGTTTTTTTGTTTAGTATTTATGCACAAAAGAGACAACTGAAGTCATAAATTTCAGGTATGTTATACTATTGACTAAATATTGAAACAGCTCTTTGATCATAAAAATTATTGTGTGTGTCCAAACCAGTTTATAATGCATGTTTTGCAATTCAGGTCTGAC